CACCCACAGTTGAGGAGCTAGCAACAATTGACACTATTCACTCTTCTGATTTTTCTCAGTCCAGTGATGGAGAAATGATATCTGATAGTTGTTTTAATTCTTATTTCTTTCAATATTGAGTTTAAACATTGCCTCATATTTTATTTTAGCCTTTTGGCTTTCTTCTTCTCCAGGCATGCAACTGGACACAGCTGTTAAACAATGTTTCTTTTATGTTTGATTGCACAATGTTTTCTACTTCAGACCTTCACATTTACTTCCTCTTTTTCCGTCTTTTTAAAGGAAACAGGTCAAAATGAGCAAGAGATGCATGAGCGTGGGTGAGCAAACATAGGCTCCTCTCTGCAAGAACTGTTTCAAAAAATGGAGGATGAGGAGACAGACCTTGTTGGTATGATTCGGAGTCTATGTGTTCTCATATTTAGAGGATGAAAAAGTACTTTCTCAGGCAACATAAACACTTTATTTTCATTATTTAATACTGTGCATATGTGTATTCAAATTAACAAGCTAGATTTTTTTTTTTTCAAATTCTGGGCTTTGCTGTTTTATCAATTAAAATTTATTTTTCCAAATTAAAATATGTATTATTGCTTTATGTCCTACTAGAGGCATTTTTAAAGAATTCAAATGCAGAAATACTTGAAAAATAAAGACACATCTTTATACAGCAGAGATAACAATTCTTAACTTCTGAGCCCATTTGAATCTCATGAAGGCATAGGTATAGAAGTTCAGGGCCAAAGTAAAAATCAGGCAGGGAATCCAAAATTTAAGAAACAATCAGAAGACAAATTGTAGCACCTCTACACAATGTCACTATAGACACAGACAATGTCAGGTTGAAAGAAATAATGGTCATGTAAACTGATGATACCTTCTCATATCATTTGAAGTTTTCTTGGGGACATAGAATCTCCATGATGAAAGAGCACAGAGACCATTCAGGTAACTTTTATAGAAGAAAAAATATATATTTTTGTTGCTATCATAAGAGTAGCCACAGGGGACATACCTGATTGCAGAGGTGCAACTACACAAACATATAAAACCACAACATATACCTTTAATTTCTGAACATAAAGGATATGCATATTTATTAAATGAAACTTATGTACTTAAGTACATTGTTTTATTAAAAAATATATTTACTATTATTTCTAAGTTACGCCTAAAAAACACCTGAACAAAATGATCTTACTCTTTTGCTCCCATTTTCTTAAAGTTTAGTGCTTTCTTGACATAAGCAACAGAAGAGCCAACCAAGCTCAAGAAGAGAATTCTTGACTAATGGAAAGAATTATAAAATATAATGAAAACTCCATGAGAACCGGACTTAAAAACATTTGATGCGGGGCGTGGCAGCTCACACCTGTAATCCCAGCATTTTGGGAGGCCAAGGCAGGCGGATCATGAGGTCAAGAGATTGAAACCATCCTGGCCAACATGGTGAAACCCCGTCTCTACTAAAAAATACAAAAATTAGCTGGGCGTGGTGGTGCGCACCTGTAGTCCCAACTACTCGGGAAGCTGAGGCAGGAGAATTGCTTGAACCTGGAAGGCAGAGGTTGCAGTGAGCCGAGATCATGCCACTGCACTGTAGCCTGGTGCCTGGTGATGGAGTGAGACTGCTTCTCAGAAAAAAAAAAAAAAAATTCGTAAAGTAATTCTGCTATATTCTCTTTGGGTATACTCTGCAAATCTCAACTGAGAAGACTTACCATCCACTATGTTATCATGGACTTTGCATTTTGAAACATTTGAAATTTTGTTTTTTTCCTGTAGCCAAGATTGTATTATTCCATAATAAAGGGTGTGTTCTTCTAAAGCTCATTGTCAAGCAGTGAATGAAAAATGAAGTGTGAAGGTGCAGTATTCTGGGAGAAAGGCTTTGTAGCTTTTCAAGCTGCCATTCATGCTGCTATCATAGACATGAGTATAAAGTTAAAGGAATCTAACTGCATTAAATTTGAATTTTGATAGATGGCGATTTAATGGATTATTCTATTCTGTCATTTATTCACTTCATTAATGAGGCAAAATATACTGAACAACTTCCATATTCAAACCATTGTACTCAGTACTGGGGATCAGAAAACAAGTAGAACACAGCACTTTTCTCCAGGGACATTGGTACTGGGGGAGATAGAAACATGGATATGTAGTCATAATAAGAGTTTAGATTCTATCATTGATTTTATTTTTAGCTTTTTTTTTCTTTAGAGACAAAGTTTTACTCTGTTGCCCAGGCTGGAGAACAGTAGCTTTTCGCAGACATGATTATAATTCACTGCAGCCTCAAACTCCTGGGCTCAAGTGATCCTCCCACCTCAGCCTCCCTAGTTCATTCTTAATTTGGCTCTCTTTAAGTCTGTTCTTGGTATATAGGAATGCTTGTGATTTCTGCACATTGATTTTGTACCCTGAGACTTTGCTGAAGTTGCTTATCAGTTTCAGGAGATTTTGGGCTGAGACAGTGGGCCTTCTAAATATACAACCATGTTGTCTGCAAATAGAGACTACTTGACTTCCTCCTTTCCTAATTGAATACACTTTATTTTTTTTTCTTGCCTGATTGCTCTGGCTAGAACTTCCAATACTATATTGAATAGGAGTGGTGAGAGAGGGCCTCCTTGTCTAGTGCCAGATTTCAAAGGGAATTCTTCCAGCTTTTGCCTGTTCAGTATGATATTGGATGTAGTTTTGTCATAAATAGCTATTATTATTTTATGATACATTCCGTTGATATCTAGTTTATTGAGAGTTTTTAGCATGAAGGGCTGTTGAATTTTGTCAAAGGCCTTCTCTGCATCTATTGAGATAGTCATGTGATTTTTGTCTTTGGTTCTGTTTATATGATTGATTATGTTTATAGGCTTGCGTATGTTGAACCAGCCTTGCATCCCTGGGATGAAGCCTACTTGATCGTGATGAGTAAGCTTTTTGATGTGCTGTTGCATTCGGTTTGCCAGTATTTTATTGAAGATTTTTGAGTCGATGTTCATCATGGATATTGGCCTGAAGTTTTCTTTTCTTGTTGAGTCTCTGCCTGGTTTTGGTATCAGGATGATGTGGGTCTCACAGAATGAGTTAGGGTGGATTCCCTCTTTTTGTATTGTTTGGCATAGTTTCAGAATGAATGGAACCAGCTCCTCCTTGTATGCCTGGTAGAATTTGGCTGTGAACCCCTCTGGACCTGGACTTTTTTTGGTTGGTAAGCTGATTGCCGCCTCAACATCAGACCTTGTTGTTGGTCTGTTTAGGGTTTCAACTTCTTCCCGGTTTAGTCTTGGTAGAGTACAAGTGTCCAGGAATTTATCCATTTCTTCCAGGTTTACTGGTTTATGTGCATAGAGCTTACTTTACTGGTTTTTGTGCATCAGAGATTACTTTGTAGTAATCTCTGATGGTAGTTTGTATTTCTGCGGAATCAGTGGTGATATCCCCTTTATCATTTTTTATTGCATGTATTTGATTCTTCTCTCTTTTCTTTTTTATTAGTCTGGCTAGTGGTCTGCCTATTTTGTTGATCTTT